TATCCATAATTTAAAGATAGGTAACTCAATTTAAAAAAAAATCATTGCATTAGACGATTTGCAATACGATTCTATGCAATACCTATGCATTTTATACCAGAGACATTTATGAACTGATTTACTGATACACATCACAGAGACACAGGGTACAGATAGAGCTACAGATTTTTAAAGAATAAATAATATGATTTTGTATATAAAAGTTCAGTATATAATATAGGTTAAACGAATAATGAAATATGCCTAGTAGCTCGAATAGTCGTAGAACAATAATTATTCTACGTACACGTTGACAATTAATATTATTTCGATAGCAGTTTAATAATATGTTGTCAACTTCGTGTTAACAAGTAAAAATAATGAAAGGTTTAAATTGTAGAAATATGGCATTATGACGACAGTCGTCCATATCACTCTGCTAATCTCTGGACAGAAGATAAATATTACATAGATAAACATGGTTCTAAATGAATACTAATTGTCGGCCAGTTGACTCCAAAAATTACATTAATGTTTTATGTTATTAAAAAAAAAATTCCTTACGGCCCACATCAGATCAATGAGCTCAGTGGCGTAAATTGGGTCCAATTTCTGGTGGTGCAGAGGCATATTATTAACCTATAATTTCCAACACAAAAATAATCCAACTTTCTAAGTAAAATCCTTCCTAACAAAAAAAAACTATATATTTATCCATACATTTTGTCAACATTTGAACTTCAAATGCTTATAAAAAAAAATTGTGGCTATGTATTTTTAATATTTTTCAACGCTATTGTAACAATATATCAGGAGCCTTCCATTAAATTTTCACGCTTTTTACCCAACAAATAAAATTTTATTGATATTTATAGAAAAAAAAACTAAAAAAATTAAAAAATGACAATGTCCGGAAACAGCTCAAAGAGAGTTAAAATATTTTCAAAACTTTGTGGTGTATAGAAAATTAAAATATAAATATATAAATTTTCATGTATTTACAGTTATTTGTTTGAATAACAACAAATTAACAAAATCGCTACATGAGAAATCTAGTGAATATCCAATCTTGTAAAAATATGATTTTCAAATGCTCATAAAAATTTAATTTGATTTACTTGTGGACATTTTTTTTTTTTTTGATAAAGGAGTATACAAACGTATGAATAATCTTGTATTACATTTTAAAATCTTAGATTTGAAAAGAAACATTTTTATGATTTTTTCAACTCAAATTATATTGTTAATTTTCGTGATTTTTCTGTATTTTGTCAAGATTTGAACTTTAAATGCTTATAAAAAAAACTGTGACTAAGGATTTTTAATAATTTTCTTATGTCATTGTAACAATATAGTTGGAGCCTTTTATTAAATTTCCAAGATTTTTAACCCAACCAGTGAATATTTCAATTATATATGTAAATGTTCATTTGTTTGGTCAAAAACCAAAATCGATTTTGTCGAAAACCGATTTCGGGTAAAAATTCCTGTTTTTCCTTAATTTTTATGTTGTTTTTCCTGGCGCTTATGAAACCTGAAGAGAATTTTAAAATTTGATTCAATACGACGTCTAGCTATCATCTGACATTTGACTTTTGAGAATTGAATGAACATTGATCCAGTGATAACACACTATTTTGGCGGTAGAATGTTGAAAGCAATATAATTTTACCATATTATACCACAGAACAATTATACGTCTATTCTGTGCACGATTAAAGATATAATATCTTTAATCGTGATTCTGTGATACTGCCATAATAAAATACAAAATTCTGTGGATAGTGGTTACCATAGATAATAATCTAACTATTTATGGGGGTTGTACGATATTTTAGAATATAGATAGGCCAGATAGGGTAATAATTTAAATGATAATGTCTAATACATGCACTAAAATAACTATTTTGTACCTCTTTATATATTATATATTTCAATGATTTTCTGGTGGTGCAAAAACATACCTTTGCACCACCACATTTTAGATGTGGTGGTGCAAGTGCTGCATTTGCACCACCCAGTTTACGCCACTGAATGAGCTATTATTATTATTTACTAATTTATTATATATTTAATTGGTATTTACATACGTAATAGATCTAATATATTTTATTGAAGAAATATCCAAATACGAACTGCACTCGTAGCCGACGCTGTCGTTGGGTAACAAAATACAAACATGAAGTAAATGATTCTACGACAATTGCCTTGCTTACAAAACAGAAAATATATTAATAATAGCTACCTATACTGTCCAATAGAAATAGTTTGATGTGCGTCGTCAATTTCTTGAGATAAGAATGTTTTGACTGTTTCGGGTATTTTATAAGTGGTAATACATACAAAACAAGGATAAGCTGAGTTAAGCGCGGCGGCGGGTTTTTGAACGTTCGACCCGTTGGCTAATTTTAAACTATATTTCATATAAATATTTTGTTCACGGGAAAAAAACCTGTCCGTGTGTGCTCACATAAATCGGAGTCTGCAAATGAATAAGAATTTTTTTTTTTGAGAGAAATTCTGGGGGGTGGACTCCCCCCTCCCGTAAATACGCCAATGAACACCATAAGCACACGGGGTGAACGGTTTTCCCGATCAATCTAATCCGCTGTCGGTGCACCACACCAACAGCACAATCTACAGGCAATCTTAAGAAGTCGCCTTCTGCAGAGAGCCACAAGCCTGCGCTTGGTGCGTTCGGGGGCACCGACGCTCCTTGTAGCCGGTCCCCGCTGTAGTCATCGGCTGACATATTATTTTATCGAGTCGTACAGACGTTTCTTCAACGGCTTCGACGACTTCGATTGGCACTTGTGGCGATATCCTCATCACTGGGACAGGCCTCCGGACAGTCACGACAATCGGCTGTGGTAAAGCGACTTTTAACACGATGTTCAACGACCTCCGCACGGCCACCACTCGCAGTGTTAGGTATTTACAAGTATTATTATTTTATGAGAGTGTATATAATATAGTTATATAAGAATTTAGGTACGATTACTAATATAATATAATATTGTGCCTTATCAGTTAATGATTTCGCCAAGCAGCTGGACTAGTGCAAAAATGTAATTAAATAATATGTATTCGTGCATTTTAAAAAATATAATAATTTTAATTGAGAATAATATTAATAATGTTATTAATGTTAATAATATTCGTTTACAAACCATAATGTACTTACAATAAAATCAATACAGGCTACAGCTAATATACTTACAACAATTATATATTGCTTATAATTCATATTATATTTGTTTTACAAAACAGTCGCACTTAAGATATAATCTCAATATCTCAGAGCTTATAATTTATGTTATACGATATAAGTACCTACACTATATAAGAATCAAAATATTCTTTCGAAAAATTAAAACGGATACTGGAGAAACATGCACGAAAAACCTATTAATTTTAATACTTTTTGAATAGCACACTGTCCACGTATTTGTTAATTACATAGGATAACGTTATGCTGCATTCTCTCCGAAGCGATATTAAATCAAAACGCGAAATGTATTTCATTCAGTGTCCATTAAATAAACGATATATATTTTTTTTTTGTTATAAATATTCAAAATAAAGTTGTAATGTTCAAAATAATTACCATAAAATTACGGGAAAGTCTTGTAAAATATAAAAATTATTAATAGTAATTGGACGGTTTTTTCATTGCATATTATAATATAGTGGTGCAGGAATAATAATAGCCTAAAGGTTTCAGGAGATTTTTTTATCTTTCCAGTTAGTTAATATTCGAGGGTTCATTATATCGGTATAGTGAATCAATCTTGTTACCAAAGCCAAACGATTTCCGAATATGCAGGTCGCTAACAATTAACAGGTCGCATTGTCGCAATTTATAATAAATCGTTATTGGGTTATTCATTATAAACATATATTTATTAAAAACTAGATTTACAAGACCTCTAAACGTCTAAAGTAGTAATTATTTAACAAATATTCACACGATTAAACGTATTAAATTGTTTTTTTAAAATTGTATTATTACATTGACTATAACAATGTAAGTTGTTTCAAAAGAACTTATACGAATGTGAACAAATCAATAATATTAATTGAAATGTTGAGCATTTAGGTATCGATGGAGAACTTGAATTTAAAAAAAAGTATTGTTGTATTGTGTTGAAATGCAAAAATGTACACATCTTCAGGTGCGTTACCCCAGCACCCGTACTTCCGAAATCATAAATTGTAACCAATCAGTATTTTGTACATTTTTGTACAACCAAACTCTATTAACACCCTACCATCATCACAAGGTACGCTTAAGGAAGGTAAGTATTTATATTTATATTTATATATTTTTATTTATAATGCGTGTACATATTAATTATCTTTGATTTAATAATAATAAAAATAGTTACATATTTGTATTATAATGGCTATATAAGTATATTATTATGATATATAGAACATTTTCCTTTTAGATTTTGAACACAGCGTAGATATCTGATTGTTTTTTTTTTTTTAAGTAAGTTTAAGTACACATATTACATACCTATGACTTATGAAATTTTATATTAGCTCCGCATGATGGTAGTATATGAATCGTAAAAATTTAATAGTACCTAGCTTACGACATATTACTTCATAATATTTTAACTGCCCATCCATACAATATTATAGTTGTCAATACTGTACTTTTGTTATTTCCTACCCTATATAAGTTCTACTGCCGCGGCAGTCGTTAGACTAAAAAGGTTGAAGGCACAAACTACACAGCGGTCTACCGAGATGTGTTATTAGGTACTATTAGTTATTACCTATAGTGTGCCACTTATTTGATATAATATTATTGTAGTCACACCTCACTTGCACGCATAAGTCATCTGCGGCGGCGGCGGCGGAGGAGGCTACGAGAGTTATTAAAAAAATATATATAATAACAATAACAACATATTGATAACTTACGAGTATTATAATAAATATTTTACTACCCATTTGTACGCCTGTACAGTAATAACAATATAATATAATATAACGTTAGTACACAGTTGTTATATGCCCGTCGGATGGACGCCGTAACCGCCACCGCCGCGGTCGTACGCTCGCTCCTCGTACCCACCACTCGAGATTTCTATTTCGTTATAACTTTTCCGTCTCTTCTTCTGCTTTTCGTAGTTCCACCCCACTTCGCCACCGACGACGCTGACGAGACCGTGTGGGCAGGCGCAGGTGGCACGGCCGATGTACAGCCTGTACAGGTAGCCGGCCCGGTCGCAGGTATATACCTACAGTAGTTTTTATAATATTATTATTATTATTATCGTATATGTACATGACGTATAAAGTTACGTGAACACCGCGAGCGCGCACGCACGACCACATTGTTAGTGCCAGAAACCGACAACAGGTGCCGCTAGGAGCGTCGTCGTCGTTCGAAGGGCACCGACACCGACTTCTCCGACTCCCACTCGACCACCGTCCTCCCCCCACTGCGCCGTACAGGTCGTCACCCGCGCACCATAGCATCTGACGGCCACCGCCGTTGACGACGACGCGACGTAACCACTACTAACCAGTGCCCAGTACCAGCAGAGGCTGAACGATCGGGTACCTGTTTCGTTATTCCCGCGTCAGTTTTCATCCGTAACGACTAAATAGTAAATAACTAGTCGCCGCGCCGTGTACGCGCCCTGCGTGAGTGCGTCGTTATACAGTGCGTCCGTGTCCGTCCGACCGTCCGTTTGTTCGTCCGCCGCATTCTTTCGGCGCGGATCGATGGTTTTTTTCGTTCGAAGACGCGAGTTCGGGTTTTATTTTTATTAATTAGTCGTTTCGCTCGATCCGGACGGTATAGTCGTCGTTACGACTTGACGTATGCGTGCGCCAGTAGTGTTCCGTTTTCGTTTCCCCGATAAAAGCGGCTCTGCCGCCGCGTACGGACACATCGGTTTTTCCGACGTCCGTCCTATCACGTAAGTGTAAATTCCACAATACTTATAAATATTGTACAATACTATCGATGCGATAAGTAGATGATGTGTACTTACTCGTGGTTGTGTGTAATCAATGTTATCATCGTCGTTACTGTCCGACCATATGCGTAATATTGCGTATACCTACCGGTTCGAAAAGATAAAATATTGATAATTTATAATCGTTGTCTCTCTGCAGTTATCGGCGCGTTTCGTTCACAACGGTGGAAAAGTCCCAAAAAGCTCTTGAGTCTTGGTAGTCGGTATACCAACGGTGCAGATAAATTCGATCTGTCGGGTGGGGGCTAGGGGTGGACAAACAATGGTGACAATATTTTTAACATTGTCAAACAAATTATTGATTTGCAAAAATGTCGAGGAGGTGGATCGAACTGGGCATCCCCACAACCCCCTCCCTCCTCGACAAAGCAATGGTATCAAGTTTTTAGACGTCCGTGAGCGTAACTTTGAACGCCGTCGCCGCACATTGAACCTCGTCTCGCTGATCTGCGGAGGGAGATACCGCGAGAGGCTCCGTCCTTGAATAACCCGCGCGAATATGAACAGTCGGTGGTTCCTGGTTAGTCCTACGGGCTACGACAACAAAATGTAAATTATAATATTTTGTTAATTATTTGAATAGCCGAGTAATTGATAATTATTTTTTGGCCGGTCACGGACGGACGAGGTACCTCTATATAAACATATCGTGTCGATTGTCTTTCTATTTTGAAAACGGTGGCGAGGCGTATCTAACTATGGTCTACTGGTAGCGGCCGACAATGTATTTTTGTAGTAAACACGACGATGATAAAATATGTTAGTATAATAAATTAAGGAGTTCGATAAGATTATATCGACATGTCACAAAAATAATCTACTGTTATTATACCAATTATACGGGTGTCGCCTCCCGTCGGTCTGTCATTAGTGTCGTGAGCACTGGAATATACTATAATATAGTAGCCACCGTTGTTCTATTTGCGTGTCAGGAAACTTTGATCGCGAGACTAATATTAAAAACCACTTCCCATGGTGTGCTCCTACGAATGTTTAATAGTAAAGTGGGGAAGAATTCACTGTCATTTTTCACGAGAATACGATGTAATACATTTATCGATATTCAACGCAATCTCTGGAATAAGTTCTGTGATCCGTGAATCGTTTACTGTGGGTGGTTGAGAAAGACGTATGGGTGAAGAGTCCCTGCTTATAATTTTTATTTTAAAAAAGACCTGTTGGATTCGCGTCTTACGAATATTATCACACCCTATTTACGTTTACGGCGGCATTTCGGTAGGTGAGGAGTGAGGAAGATGACGAAGAAGGCGGTCGCGTCCGGTACGTGTTGTTTGTGTACAAACACCGACGCGATTTTTATACTCTTTTCGACCCTTTCGTTCATGGTCCGTCCACCCCCTCGATGATCTGGCAGTCCCTCCGGACAAAATATTGCAATAACAATAATAAAATATCAGCATCTCGTAATATTCGTATTTGTTGTTGCGCTCGACCGTCTTACATTATCCGAATCGCATTGTCCGAGCTCAAATCGACAATGACGTGCATATTGTATCGGCGAGGTTTACAGTCAAAACGAAATATTATCATCGTCGCAGTGCCACCGAAAACTATAACGAATAACGATTGTGATTTATGGCCAGTCGTCGCTAATTTCAACTTTTTTTCGGTCATAGGTACTCGAATCGTGATTTTTTTTAGATATATGAATACAAATACTGTTTAGTGTTTGTCACATTTCTACGACCGTCGACATTTTTAGATGTTTACGAGGACGTGTTACGGTTTTATAGCTTTAAATATTTCGGGTAAATCATATCTATAAATTATAATGTCAAACTACTTACATGTGAATATGTGATAGTCTATGGATAACATTGTCCGCATAATGCTAGGTTCACATGAAGAGCTTTAACGCGCGTTACAAATCAATATAACAATATCTTATTATTGTTTTTATATTTTACTTAAAGTATTTATAGCCGTCCGTCGGGAACGAGTTTTTGACTACGATATTTTTAATCGCGCATAAATTATCCTCGCATAATATCTATTATATCTGTGACTACCGTGTGCGCGTCGTTACACGTCTTACAATAATAAAATAATAATATATATTATTACTATTATTATTCGTAATCAATAATCGTCATCGTAAAATACAGCTCGTGCAATAGTTGAAATTTGGCGGTGGTGTCCGTGATAACAATATTATGCGTTTACTTAATCCTTACCAGACTCGTATTATTATTAAATATACCTACCTACGCGTTTGTCCGAATGTAACTCTCGATTGTCAAACAATTTTTTTTTTTTCGTTACATATTGAGTTCGGTAGACAGTTGAAAAAATGCTGTTTTTTTCCCGCTCGCATTTCTATATTATTCTCGCGCGTGATTTATACACGCCTATTGTATTTAAATGCCGCGTAGTCGGATCGTCGGAAATCGCATTCTCAGATTTGTGATTTCAGATAAAAAAAAAAAATAATAATAATAAAAAAACGTTTGCCATAGGTTTCGTTCTCGCAGAATAATAACATGAACACGTTTGATTCGTACAATATAATATAGGCCAAGATACCTTGTTATATAATTGTATTAATATAATGTGAGTTAGGTATACTGTACAACGTAGAGAACAATATGCGAATCCTTAGCCTGCTGTGTGCAGTTTATTGTTGAGACATTTGAGAGCTACGATGGTTTGGTATACTTATATTATGAGCTTCATTGGATAATTCGTAATCACCGACCATCTATTATTATTTATTACTTCACCATTTGAAATAAATATACACGGCTCCTTCTATACGAATTATATTAGTAGAACATTCTATTTATATGGCCAGTCCAGTACCTATAGGTTTCAAACCAGTATAATATCTAAAATCTGCAAATTATTTAATTAAAACCTACCGACTCCACCATAATAATAAAATAATTTTAATAATTAATGAGTAGGTTTGACGGATAAAAAATATTCTTTTAAATCTTATACGAATTTTATTGTGTATAATGTATAATAACTATTTTTTAAGTACCCAGTAGAGTAGAGCGTTAGAGGTGTTCTAAGAATCTAAATAAAATATCTGTCCTAAATTTAACATGGATTCCTCATATTATGATGGTCAAAATATTATAATCTTCCTACCATCGAATTATAACGTATAATTAACTTTATTTAGATACTCTTACTGGTATGAATAATGCATGTTTGATATTAAAATTAATCACCAATCTAATATCTGAACAAATGGATTTATATTTTGTTAATTGAATCGTTTATTTTTACACGAAGCAGATACAGCTATCAGCCTAATACATAACTTTAAAATAGTTTTGACTATTTTATCCTTAATATTTCAAGTTTATTTGGGTTAAATACGTGATTTAGGTATTAGGTATGCTTAGTATCACTAAAATAAATAAATATTTTTTATGTTTCAAACGTGACGATTGCATTTCCAATGTAGAATGAACAATTTATAATTACATTGATTAAACGGCTAGGGATTTAGTCATTTTTAATAAAAATCTTATTGTGATTTAATAAGTGTACCTATATACTTAATGAATAATGATTATCTACCAATACTCAACATTATATAAGTATAAAATACTACATTACTACCTACCAGGTCCTACCTAACCTAATAGTTTCAGATAACGTAAAGCGTATACCCATGCAGGGACGAATCCAGAGCAAAGACTTATTGAGGGGGGTTATTCATTTAAATCATTAAATCTATGCTGTACGCATTGATAATGGAGATATGGATAGGATATAATAATAGTCTCATCAGCGGTAATCAATTGGTGATCCAATTTAGACCAAATAAGTATACATAAGTCGAGTATCGACTATCAATATTCAATATAAAAGAGCCTCAATTGGCTTTCCCTCCTAGACCGAGGCCTAATATTATACTGTTCTATGATATTATTCAATATTATTTAACATTGACGGTGGTCTTTCCATATCTTTATTATCTACGCAATAGAAATATTTATATATCTTGTACTATTTTTAAATATTATATAACTACATAAATATTAAATTCATCACTATTTTTTTTTATAGCGCTTGTTGTTAAGTTATCATATTCTGAGACAGTGCGTAGTATAAACCAGTAAATAAAAAAAATGATTTATTTATATACCTAGTTAAAAATATTGAGCGAGGCTTTGCTCCTCGCCCCCCTCCTCTGGATTCGTCATTGTGTGTACCACTACAATTTACAATTAAATAGATGGTTTTATTTTTTTTTTATTATTATTTTATAGATCGTACATTATAATATTATAGCTATTGATTTTATAATATACATACAGAATATAAGCCATCCTATCGGAAGCGGCTAATTACATTTGACCTATAGATTCACTGATCCGTTTGCATTACTCCTATATTCAAACGGATACAGCGACCCATTAAGATTACACAACTGTGGAGCGTTTGTTGTATATACCGCGCACATTTAAAACCGACACTCCATTATATTGGAGATGCGTCGTGCCAATTTTCCTTTGGCGCGAGATACAGAAACCAACAATTTATAACCGACCAATCAGACGGCGCGTCAACTGTACCGCGCTATATCAGTCCACACTCCTCGCGCCGTGTGATACCGACTTTAAAATATTAGCTGCTTCCAATTTCAACAATAGGATTGCTCATCAGTTATCTGTATAATAATATTATAAAACCAATGGTATAACCGCTAACTCAAAAACGGTTAAGTATACGAATATTTATGTACACATACCATCACTATACTTCTATACCACCTAGGTGCAAAGTTTCAAAAACGCTCGTCGATCTCTCTTTCCCCGCCTAAAACGAAAACTTCCTACGAATTACCCGTCCATTGTTTATTATAAATTATAATATATTATTTTGAAGCCGGTTAGGTTTCGACGTTGACCCGACATGTTCACGTAACGAACGTACAATAATAATAGCAACAAAGAACCAAAAAAAATATCCTAAATAGTAGCATTTGTCGCGCGCGTTTAGTTGACAATAAAATATTATAATAACGTACCTATATTATACTTAAATATAATAATATAATATTACAATATAATGTGTTTCTATGTGCTTACAGAGAACAATGCGACTTACGTGAGGCGTGTGTTTCAGGCGATTAGCATAATGTCGAGCGGAAGCAGTGGCGGCGGAAAGCCGGCTTCTGTCGGCGGCGAGGGCGTAAAGCCGGGCGTGGGATCGGCCTTCGTGCCGGTCATGCCGTCCAGCGGATCGTTCTACGGGCACCCGTCGATCGCGTCGCTGCAACAGCCGTCGCCGTCGTCGGCCGACTTTTACGCCGCGTCCATGATGGCTGACAAGCACAAGGCCCTCCACCAGCACCACCACCTGTCGTCGCTCCAGCAGCAGCAACAGCAACAGCCGTCGCCGGGCATGTACGTGCCCAAACACAAATCACAGCAACAGCAGCAGCAACAGTTGTCGTCGGCCAACGCCGCTGCGGCAGCGGCGGCCGTTTCGCTGATCCACCAGCAACAGCAGATGGCTATGGCACTGGACAAGAACAAGGTGTTACAGGCGGCCATGCATCAGCGAGGCTATGCTCACCCGTTCCTGCTCAACCCCGGCGGCCAGTACGGCAGTCAGCCTCTGTTCGGTGGCCCGGCTGCGGGTACCGGCCCTGGCGCGTTCGGCTCAGTGGCCGCTCGACCGCGTGCCTCGGCCGTGGGTGCTAGTGGGGTTGGCATGGCCCGGGCGTCCCGACCAAAGAAACAGTTCATATGCCGGTTCTGCAACCGACAGTTCACCAAGAGCTACAACCTGTTGATACACGAGCGGACGCACACGGACGAGAGGCCGTACTCGTGTGATATTTGCAAAAAAGCGTTCCGGAGACAAGACCATTTGCGAGATCACAAGTAAATACCTAATTTAAATCATAGTAGTTTAACTATACATTTAAGAAGATGCTACCCATGCATTTGTTGTCTCCTTCTTACATACGTACGACATGGCACATTTTCATTCACTAGTTTCAATAGTGTGCTGTTGGTTTTGATATTAGAGTGATTTTACCTATTATACATTTTTTAGATAATAACATTATCTGTGCTTAAGAGTTGGCTTTTATTCAATATTTTCATTTTCAAGCGAGATATGAGCATTTTTTAATTTTTTGATATGTCACATACGACATACCCATATCTTGCTTGAAAATGAAAATTTCGAAAAATCGGCAAGGCTCAAGCACAGATAATGTTCTTACCTGAAAGTTTTATAAAAGGTCAATTCACTCTAGTATCAAAACTAACAGCACACTATTGAAACTAGTGAACGACAATTTGCTATGTCGTGCGTGTGCAAATGTATGGGTAGCGTCCTATTAACGCTTTGAGTATCCGTAAAAACTTCGAGCCTATTGTAATATTTTGGGTGGGACCTTTCCTCACTATAATTTATTGTGGCTTAGTCCAGCGTTTCCCAAACTGTGGTCCGCGGACCCATGCCCGTATTTAGGGGGCCAGGGTGGGCCATTGGGGCAGTAAATTTTCATGAACTTTTTTTATGTATTAAGACAACGCCCAACATGGTTGATACTTTAAAATTATGTAAAATGTTTTTTCCTTATGTATTGCGATTTGGTGGAGATTTCTCCAACGTTTATTTTAGGATATTCTCTCAAATCTATTTTTATACGAACCATAATAATTCCATGCATAACTGATAACAACATGAGTGCAGCTCGTATCTGCTATAGAGTTGATAAAAGACACAACATAATAATAAACAGGGAGGCAGGGAGCTACGTCATTAGAGGGGGGTTTCAAAAATCAATTGACTTAAGCTCCTCAGCCACCAGCATCAAATGAATTGAATTAATTAAATTATGTTTAAAAAAATAGGCTGATAAAAATTCGGCTTCTAACGTGTGAAAAACAGTATAGTTATGAAATTGTTTAGTTAATAAAATATAATATAATATTATAATTGTTTTTACATGACGTTAGAATGTGAATTTTCATCAGCTGATTATTTTATAACATAATTTATTTATTTCAAATCATTTGGTCGTGTGTCAATGGCGTCATGTCAGAATAATGCATTAAATTCATAGTCTTAATGAGCTATAGCAATATTATTATAAGATGTCAAAGACATAATATCCTTATTATTTATCACGTACCTATCTGTTATTAATTTTTTAAAGATAAAAGAGAAACTTGTGTTTTATCTGTAAAATATGGGAATGCAGAGGACAAAATATGGATCTCAGTCCCGATCCCAGGGCTCGGCTTTAATATTTAAGGGGCCCAATCGCAAAATGCCAAGGGAAATGCTCCTATATACCCGAATTTTGCCTCTCTGCACTGACCGTGTTTGAAAATGTGCGCCCCGGACACACTCTCCCACCGCCAACAAAGAACGAATTATCGGAATAAATGTGCACATACCTATGTGCGTATATAATGTAGTTTAGTGTCGTTTAAATAAAGAACACGAGCACGGGTAAAATATACGCCGAGATATGTATCCGATCGGTATTTTTTATTTCAGAAATTCCAGTCGTACCTGTAGGTATATGTATTGAATTTCGAGTTGTCGTGATTTTTTTTTTATAATATACGTTATGATCGTGTGCGATTTCGCCGAGAACGAACGCACCTCGGCGGCGGCGGCGGTGGCAGCACGCGGCCTAGCAGGTATATAGCAAATATATGATAATAAAAACCGACCACCGCCGATGCGGCGACAAATAATATCACTCGGTGGTTCTCCGTGCGTGGAAAAAAAAACACGAAAACCGGTCGGTGTGTTAATTAAGAAATGTAGTAAAGGACCGCGTACGTGTTGCGTATATGGCCGGTGGCGTCGGCCGAAATAGGATGAGGATTGATGTATATAATAAGAATGAGAAGGATAAAAAGTTGTAGAGGAAAACAAATGGCAATTTTTCGTCCAAGCCGATTGTTGTCATCGTTCGGAAGAGCTCCCTCGCCTCGCCTACACGCTTTGTATATACATATATTTAAGTATATAATATTATTATCAATGACCAAAGTTAACTCGCGTTCCTGCTGCGCCGAAAGCAACGACTGTTTGTGCCTGTATATCCGTTTGAATCGAGTACATAATATTTATTTAACTAATTACGAAGTAAATCTTTGATGCGAACGACGATGATGTATACAGTATACTATACGTCATAACTTTGGATTTCGACAATCGAAAAAAACATCTTAAACGTCAAAACTAATAATTTCTATTATGAACACTGCACTCCTCATCTTATTTATACGCAAAATCTTACGACGTCGTAAGGGTGAAGAATGAAGATGTTCTATCCAGCGTTCCAGTACCTGCACAAGGGGTTAGGTAAAGTGGGCCCCGCTATAAACCCACTTATATACCTACCTATTCGGCCCGATCATTTAAGTTTTTACCAAGAACATAATATTATAATAAACACATATATTTTAATTTATACCATTTGTACAATGTCTACCGATAACATAATATTTTATACCATATATTTATTTAGAACATAATATTATGTGATATAAAATAATATAATATATTGTATAGGTGGGACATTTTATTTTCGAGACTCAATTTACCTAGTACCTTTTTTTCCGGGACTTAATTTACCAATCACTTAGCATAAATCGTTGACCATAATATCAAGTATTTTGAGGTGAACATTTTTCGGAAATTTCTATTCGTCTCGATAATCTCCGGACTATTATCCCGCGAAAATTACGACCTCGATTGTGTAGATTGGACTCATATTGTAACAATAATAGGCGGTAGACAACTTCAAAAGAGGAAAACAAATCATGTGCTCAACACGCTGCTCGTCGAACGTCCAAGTATAGATTATATTATTCTTCATACCTACTCTTATAATAAATTCTGCTCGCCAACACAATACGAATATTATAATAATATGAACGACGACGGGTTTTAATTATTATTATCGGAGAGAACCTGCAGCACACTCGCACCGCAACCGTCTAGGCTGCGGTGGCTGCAGTGCATAACAAGTCTCGATCGTGGTGTATTATAATACATATTATGTTCTTATACGTACATTATATTATATTATATTATATATAGTATACCGCGGTCTGTGTCCGAACCAGGTGCGTGCAGCACGGAACCACATGCGATGTGATTATAATACGCGTCAGTGGAGGTGGTGGGTGGGTGGGTATATTATAATGTGTATAATATTATATACATGGTATATAAGTAATATATATTATATTATTATGCACGTGCGGGAGGAGCGGAGAGGATGATCTTGTTTTATACGCGACGGAATGTTGTACTTTCGGCGTATGATAATAATAATAATAATAATATTAACAACATTTATGCGCACACGGTCGTCATCGCTCTATACTATATTATAATATACGACTATATAGGTATATGCTAGTTGTTTTTATTCGCCGATGTATATAATATAATGTGTATACTTAATTGGAGCGCGGTAATAAACGTTTTTTCGAAAGGAGAAAAAAACCTCGCGTCTTTTAAACGCGTGCAGTTTTACCGTAGAGGACATTCACTATAATACTCGCCAGTGACCAAGTTTATCGTGTCTTGTACAAGTATAGAAAAATCGGAAAACAATATAATCGTACTTATAAACGAATGTAACCGATTTATATGAATGGCTTCATAATGTGCATTATATTAAATTGTGCTTCTTCGGGTCCGTGGACCTATTTTGAAATGCTGAAGGCTCATAGCAAATTTTGGTTCACCAGTTTCAATATAGTGTTCTGTTAGTTTTGGTATAATAGTGGATTGACCTATTATCAAACTTTTAGGTGAGAAGATTATCTGTGTTCTCTCTGGTTGGCTTTTAACGATATTTTAATTTTTAAGTGAATTATGAGCATTTCCAAATATTAATATTTTACATACTCATAACTCATCACTTTAATATTAAAATACCGTAAAACCAACAAGAGAACACAGATAATGTTCTTACCTAAAAGTTTGATAGTAGGCCATTCATTCTGATATCAAACCCAACAGCACACTATTGAAACTGGTGAACTAAAATGTGTACACAACAATGTGTAAGACGGAGACAACAATAATGACAATATGACATGAATACCTGTTCTCGCCGTGATTTGTATTTGGCGAGGAGGGTGGACTGACACAGCAAAATTGAGTTATTTTTTTCAAAATAACAATATAAAATTATGTTTATTGTCATTGTAATTATTGTTATACTAAGTCCATTGACACACACATGACACATGCAATTGTCAACTATAGTTAATGTTTATGATTTCCATGTATAATGATATCGAATCCAAATAAATTGAAACATTGCCTGTTTGAATAGAGTTCAATTCTCGAACATTTTGGTTTAGATAGATATGATGAGTGCAGTTTGACAGTCCTTTCTGCAGGATTTGTAAGTTTTTACAACCATAAACACTATAGTTTATACATGCGTATAATTAACAAAGACTTTGAATTATGTATATTATACTATATTATAAGTAGATATTTAGAGTATTTCGAATAATAAACAATATAAAGTAATTAATAATATGTTGGTGTATCTCCTACATCACGAGAAGGTCTGAGTATCGAGTAAAACCGGTGATGGGTCACAATCGTAATGGAACATAATAAATAACGTCATGTCGTCTTTGAATCCGGTATTATATTATTATGTTTTTCGTCTCGTTTCGTTTCTGGACCTTAAGAAAGGACGCGTATGCCTTGTGAATTGTGATGATCTATTATATAATATATACCATGTGTGAATGCTCGAGGGGGGGGGTGTACCCAATACATAAACGATATAACCCGCAACTGGAGCGATTCTTTAGTAGCAAATGCGTTTGTAATATAAAATATAGTTTGGATTTAAAAAGTTAGTGAAAAC